GGGAATGACTTTGATTCCCAGGGGATTGCTCTGTGTTTAGTCTAGCAATCCTTTCAGTTTCTTCCCCCTCCCCCTTCCTCCCAATCTGTGTAGCAACTGAGAATGACAAAGATGGCTTCAGCCAGGTTCGTTTCAGAAGTTGACAGCAGGTTTGTGAAATATCACAATCGTTTGTAATATCTTTTTAGTAAGAGTAACAGTATGATGAATTTTTCCTTTTCAGCAGTGGTACATTTTTCAAACTGGCTTCAACTCTGAAAAACTAAACAATACTGTAACGTGGCCTATCGCCAGCTAGTAAATCTGATTTCAAACATATGTTAATTGGTAAAGCAGATGTGCATTTGTTTTGCAGTATTTCAGTATTGTTTGGTCTTACTGAAAGCTCTGTATCAGCCAGAAATACTGCCTGGCTATGTTGTTAATGTAAATTCATTGGTTACCTAAACTCCCCAGCAAAGTTACTTGTTCATATCTTAAATCAGTTTAGTGCATATTTCTTAACACTTGGCATTAAATGATGGTTGGATGCACATATGTAGAATAGCAGGCATGTGAGCAAGTCATATTTCTGGCATCTTTTGAATATGTTCTATAAAATATTTATAATGTTAACCATAACTATAGTTTCTCTACAGCTCAGGATCTTTTTCTATCTTTCTGCACAGATGACACAGTTTTATATCTTGTAATTAATTCCTCTCTTAATCCTCTGAAATTAGATAATGGCATGGGACTGGTTGATTTGTTGGGACCCCCCTCCCCCAAAACACTTCCACCCATTAGATCTGGTAGGAGACATGGTTCCTGCCACTTAAGGAATACTGTCTTGGGGACCCAGGAAATGAGTCTTTTCTGTCATGGCACCCACCCTTTGGAACATGCTCCTTCCAGAGATTAGATGGCTCTGATTCTGCTAGTCTTTCACAAGGGCCTGAAGACATGATTGTGTGCCCAGGCATAAGAGTCAGATTGTTGGAGTCCATGGGATGGTTATTTTAATTGTTGTTTATTGGTTTTTACCTTGGTTGACAACTACATATTTTATTTTGTTGTTGGTTTTATTTTCTAACTGTTCTTAATCACCCATGTGATGGGCAGCCATGTAGATTGAAATAAAATAAGCAAATTTAAAAATCATCTGCTGGATCTGGTTTTTCTATTTATTAATCTCCTGATTTGGGAGACCATTAGTAGACAGGTAGTAATTCTGCACTTCATTCCACCAAAGTTGGGGGGGGGGGTTTCCTAATAAAAGAGATCTAGCCGAACTAATTCACTGGACTCCACTGAATATGCCATAATAGTCTTTCCTTGTAAGAAATCAGATCTCTAGTATCTATATATCTGACACTAGGTCCACTAGGTTTCAAAAATAATTCTTTCCTATCCCTACTTAGATACTAAAGAACTGAATATGTGTAGGGTTTTTATTTTTCTTTGCACTGCAAAACATGTGCTATACTTCAGTATGTGGGTCTAGTATATACTATGATGCTTATAGGAATCTGGCTTCAATGTTTACAATATCTTCTAGGTTTTTTTGAGATATAGCCAAAGCTAAAAGGGAAGAAAGAAACCATCTCTTCCAAATATGCAGACGCAATGGTTACCCTACCAGGTTCATCAGACGCTGTAGTATACCACCCAAACCCCGGATGAGCTCGGATATGGAGGAACTCCCGTCACAGATAACCCGTGTCACCCTCCCTTACATCAGCAATGTTTCAGAAGCAACAGCCAGGTTGTTAGCCCCCCATAAAGTGAGGGTGGCTCACAGACCTGATCAAACCTTAAGATCCAAAGTGATGCGCCCAAAGGACCCGCTCCCCAACACTGAAAAATCGGCAATCATATAAAATCAACTGCAAAGATTGCCCCATTAATTATGTTGGAGAGACTTCAAAAAGAATGAAGACTAGGGTCCATGAGCATAAATTAGCGGTAAAAAGGGGGGAACAGCACTCCCAAGTATGGGCGCACATGGCGGATTCTGGACATTGCTTTGACTTTGATAATGTATGCATCCTGTCCGGTGACAATACGAAAGAGGGCCGGTTACTAAAAGAGGAATGGCTCTCTGACAGGGACTCTGTCAACCAGCATATCGATTTGTGCCCAGCACATCTAACTTTAAGAGCATGGAGCAGGCGAGATCGCCCACCCCTAAGGAGACACCCTGCGACAGTACCACGTAACCCTAGGGAAGAAGTTATGGAGGGGATGAATTTTCACCCCCCACAACAACAGCAACGGCCCATGGACATTCAGGAGAATAGTCAACGATTGAGGGACTTCTCCCCCCTTGCTCCAGGACCATGCACACGCTCCCAGACAGTGAGAGAACAGTTGCATGATGAGAAAGAGGCAATTAGCCAATGAACAATCATTCCTGACCCCCCGAAATCCAAAACAGCGATGATCCAGCAGCATAAGAAAGAAGGAGGATGGGACCGGCTTGCCCTGTGACGACAGTCCATCAACGGAAACAACAGAGCACCAATCGGAACGCCCAAGAGAATATAGAGATCGAGAGCAGTGTGAATGGGGGGGAAATGCAAATAAGGGTAGAACATGATAGAAACTGTAAAAAAGATCACTGTGTTGATGGAGGGAGGGATACAAAGGAACCAGGCATACGTATTCAAAAAAGGAGGGCACACAAGGGCTTGTATGAGGAGGAAGGAGATATTCAAGGGATTCAGTCTGACGTGGAGTCCGAGAACATTGATAATGGGGTGAAAGAGCAAGTAGATGTCAGACGGAATGGCAACGACAGAAACGGAGTTTATGCAGCCAAAGAGAGGGAAATGGAAAGTAAGGGAGGGGGAGAAAGGCTGAGAGTGTGCCCCCACAGAATGAGGGATGACAATTGGGGAGCAAGTAAAGATCAGAGGAAGGTAGGAGATACGGAGGTGTGAAGAGGGAACAACTTAGAGATACAAATGACCAAAAAAGGGGAGGAAAGAACCTCCCTAACTCAAGACAGTGGGAGGTAGAGGGGAATAACGACACACCCACCACAAGCAGTAAAAGCAAGAAAAGAGGAGTCATCAGTATGGAAGCCATAATTAAAAAGCAGTTAAATCAATTAGGACCTACGACAAGATCTAAGAGCCGTGTGCAAATGATGGCTCACCTATAAAGGCACTCTCCCACAGACCAGCATTAACCCTGACGATGTCAGAAGTATCTGACAAAAGCTTAGTGATCGGTGGTGGTATTAAACTTTTATAGTTTATTATATTCCTGGTGTTCACGTTTTATTGGTAATTGACTATGGATTCACCCAGGAATCACATTTTTATTTTCACTATTCATATATATATATATATATATATATATATATATATATATATATGTATGTCTTTGGTTGTTCGGGTTTTCTCCCGCGTAAAATTGGAAGTGTCTTGGCGACGTTTCGACTAAGTCCCATTCGTCATCTTCAGGCTGGTGCTTTCAGCTTCGTGCTTCGAGGAGCAATGTGTGGTCTTAGCTGTTTCTTCCTTTTAACTGCCAGTGGGGGTATGAACTGATTGGGTGGGAGCTTGGCTGTGTTCTGATTGGGTGGAGGTGTGTTCTGATTGGTTAGGGGCTTGGCTGTGCTCTGATTGGCTGATTGGCTGGGGGTTGGCTGTGCTCTGATTGGCTGGGGGATGTTCTGTTTGGTTGTGCTCAGGTTAGTCTGAGTTGCAGGGGGGTTTAAGATTTTGGGCTGCCTTGCTATTTTTTGGCTTCGCATTTGTGGTCGTGCCTCATCTTCACAACCAAACAGCACAACCAAACAGAACACTCCCCCAGCCAATCAGAGCACAGCCAACCCCCCAGCCAATCAGAGCACAGCCAACCCCCCAGCCAATCAGAGCACAGCCACGCCCCTAACCAATCAGAACACACCTCCACCCAATCAGAACACAGCCAAGCTCCCACCCAATTAGTTCACACCCCCACTGGCAGTTAAAAGGAAGAAACAGCTAAGACCACACATTGCTCCTCGAAGCACGAAGCTGAAAGCACCAGCCTGAAGATGACGAATGGGACTTAGTCGAAACGTCGCCAAGACTCTTCCAATTTTACGCGGGAGAAAACCCGAACAACCAAAGACCTACATACAAACACCCGCGAAAACTTTGTATATAAAAGATCCTCTTTATGCAGCTCATGGTTCTGAAACTTTTAAGGGGAGAGCCTGACTTTGAGTTACATGGAGTAATGATCAGATTTAGTGCAGGGTGAAATATCTTTTGATTTTAAAGAGCAATCTCAACAATGACATAATTGCAAATGGGGAAGGTATTTTTTTTAATAGGAACTATCAAATGCTGAGCAGCAGATGGAGACTACCCTCACATTGTGGTATTCCCAGGACCAATAACCAAAGCTGACAGGAAAGGCATAATTAGTTCCACATTAGGGCTAGTGCTATGTGTACGAACACAATAACAACACTACTCTTTCCAGATGAATTTTCCTTCCTTCCTTCCTTCCTTCCTTCCTTCCTTCCTTCCTTCCTTCCTTCCTTCCTTCCTTCCTTCCTTCTTTTTGTAAATTTTTATTGAATGTTTTACAAAAAACATAAAAACTAACACAAACCAATAAAGAGTAAAAGCTATAAAGAAAGAAAGAAAAAAAGAAAAAGCGTAGAAAGAATCAAAAGAAACAGAAGGATCTTCCAGTTTTCTTTGCAGTAAATATAAGTGCAATTACAAAATTATCTCTTACATTGTTTGAAAAAGAAATCTCATTCTTTTCTATTATGGTTTTTTTATAACTATCAAAACCACCAATTATAACTGCATTTTTTCTGTTTTATGCAAACAGTCTGATAGGAGTTTCCAATCAACTATAAATAAGGATATTCTTTTTTCTCTATTCAAACAGGTTATTTTAGTCATCTCTGCAAGTTCCATCATCTTCACCAGCCATTTCTCCATTGTGGCTTCCATGATTTTTTTTCTAGTTGCTTGTCCATCAGTTGTGTGTTTTCTTTTTCTCCTTAGGACAAAAGCCCTGGTATTAGAATTGCTGGCAGCTGTGTGTCTTGTGCGAGGTGGCCATGAGATCATTTTGGCTGCCTTTGAGAACTTCAAGGAGGTGAGATTGCTTTCATTATCTATTTAAAAGAATAGGTATCAAACTCTGAAGATCTAGGGGATTGTAGGTTTTGAAGTCCCAACGTATCTGGATCACCAGATTGAGGAAGGGTATGCAAATAATAAGGAAGCAGATGGAAACAATGGTTAGATGGAAGGACTTTGATCATCACCCAGAGACAGATACAAACGGGGAGGGAAGAAAATAGAGAAAAACTGATATAATAATAACAACAATAATAATAGAGTTGGAAGGGACTTGGAGGTCTTCTAGTCCAACTCCTGTTCAGACAGGAAACCCTATACTATTTCAAACAAATGGTTATCCAGTCTCTTCTTAAAAACTTCCAGTGTTGGAGCATTCACAACTTCTGGAGGCAGATTGTTCCACTGATTAATTGTTCTAACTGTCAGGAAATTTCTCCTTAGTTCTAGGTTGCTTCTCTCCTTGATTAGTTAATAATAATAATAATAATAATGATGTTGGAAGGGACTTTGGAATTCATCTAGTCCAGCTCAGGCAGGAAACCTTATACCATTTTGGACAAATGGCTGTCCAGTTTCTTCTTAAAAACTTCCAGTGTTGGCACATTCACAGCTTCTGGAGGCAGGTTGTTCCACTGGTTAATTGTTCTAACTGTCAGGAAGTTTCTCCTTAGTTCTAGGTTGCTTCTCTCTTTTGTTAGTTTCCACCCGTTGCTTCTTGTCCTGCCTTCAGGCACTTTGGAAAATAGCTTGACTCCCTCTTCTTTGTGGCAGCCCCTGAGATATTGGAACACTGCTATCGTATCACCCCTCGTCCTTCTCTTCATTAAACTAGACAAACCCAATTCCAGCAACCGTTCTTTATATGTTTTAGCCTCCAGTTCTCTAATCATCTTTGTTGCTCTTTTCTGTATTTTTTTCTAGAGTCTCAACATCTTTTTTACATCATGCTGACCAAAACTGAATGCAGTATTCCACGTCTGGCCTTACCAAGGCATTATAAAGTGGTATTAATACTTCACATGATCTTGAATCTTTCCCTCTGTTAATGCAGCCTAGCATTGTGTTGGCTTTTTTGGCAGCTGCAGCACAGAGCTAGGTCATATTTAAGTAACTGTCCACTAGGACTCCAAGATCCCTCTCACTACTATTGAGCAAGATACCATCTATATCTGTGCATTTGGTTTTTCTTGCCTAAGTGTAGAACCTTACTTTTTTCACCATTGAATTTCATTTTGTTAGATAGCTCCCAGTGTTCAGGTCTGTCAAGATCCTTCTGTATCTTGAGCCTATCTTCTGGAGTATTGGCTATTCCTGCCAGCTTGGTGTTGTCTGCAAATTTAATGAGTTCCATCTGTCCCCTCATCCAAATCATTGATGAAGATGATGAAGAGCACTGGGCCCAAAACAGAGCCCTGGGGCACCTCACTACACACTTCCCTCCTTGTAGATGCAGTTCCATTGAGCATCACATGCTGAGTATGGCCGGTCAGCCAGCTACAAATCCATCTGGTGGTGATGCTGTCTAACCCACATTTTTCTATCTTATCAAGTAGTAGATTGTGGTCTACTTTATTAAATGTCTTACTGAAGTCCAAGTAAATTATATACAGCATTCCTCTGGTCCTCTGGTCAAGGAATGCAATAAGATTTGTCTGGCATGATCTATTTTTGACAAACCCATGTTGGCTTTTGGTTATGACTTTGTTTGCCTCTAGGTGTTTGCCGATTTGTTGCTTGATTATCTTTTCCAGAATCTTCCCAGGTATTGAGGTCAGGCTGATAGGTCCGTAGTTTCCTGGATCCATTTTTCCCCCTTTTTTGAAAACAGAAATTACATCAGCTCATTTCCAGTCCTCTGGTAGTTCCCCAATGCTCCAGGATCTTTGAAAGTGGTTCTGAGATCACATCTATCAGTTCCTTCAGAACCTTGGGGTATAATCCATCTGGTCCTGGTGATTTGAACTTATCTAGGGTAGACTGGTGCTCACTTACCATTTTCTTGCCTATTTTAGCTTGTGTTTCAAATCTATTTTCTGTGGTATTGTTTCTGATAGGTTGGACTGTTTTTTCCCTTTGTGTAAAGATGGATGCAAAAAACAAGTTAAGTAGTTCTGCTTTCTCCCTGTTGCTTGTCACCTTCTTGCCACTTTCTCCCACTAATGGACCAATCATTTCCTTAACTTTTTTCTTGTTTCTTACATGTTGAAAGAAGCTTTTTTGTTATTTTTGATTTTTGTGACAAGCCTTAGTTCATTTTGAGCCTTAGCTTTCCTCACTTCATCTCTGCAGGCTCAGACTATTTGCTGATATTCTGCCTTGGTTATGTGCCCCCTTTTCCACTTTTTATACTTGTGCATTTTGTCTTTCAATTTCTCAGAGAGTTCTTTATGCAGCCATGCTAGTTTCTTTTGAGAGCTGCTATTTTTCTTCTTTGTTGGTATTGTGCTAGGCTGGGCTTTTATAATCTCACTTTTTAAAATTTCTTAAGCTTCTTGAATTGTTTTCCCCATGATGATTCTCATCCATGGAATCCTTCCCAAGCTCTCTCTAAGTTTATTGAAATTAGCTCTCTTAAAGTCCAAGACTCTATTTTGACTATATTCTATTGCTTGTGCTTCCATAATGTTGAATTCCAATATTGCATGATCACTCTCCCCCTCCCCACAAGGTTCCTGTAGCTTCAACTCCAATCATTTAATTTCTGTTAGTGAGAATAAGTCCAATATGGCTAATCCCCTAGTTCCCTTCTCTACTTTTTGGGAGACAAAGTTGTCTGCTAGGTTTGTCAGGAATCTGTTTGATCTTCCACCTGGTGTAGAGTTTATCTCCCAGTTGATGTCAGGGTAATAAAGTCCCCCATTACTATTGTGATGTGCTTCCTACATACCTTAGTTAACTGACTAGCAAAAAGTTTATTTATTTCCTCTGTTTAGTTGGGTGGCTTATAATATACACCTATGGCAATGTCATTTGCCCCCCTTTTATATTGACCCAAATGCATTCAAGACAGTTTTCATCATTGTTGTGCTCTATTTCTGTAGAGATGTAGTTATTTCTTACATAGAAAACAACTCCATCTCCTCTTTTATTTGGTCTGTTTCTTTTAAATAATTTAAATCCCTCCTACCAAGTTTGTGTAATGGCAACAATACCATATCTGCCCTCATTTACCTGAATTTCTAATTCACCCTGTTTATTGCTCATACTCTATGCGTATAGTGACCATCAATTTTTTTTTCAAGTGAGAACACAAGTCAAATCTACACAACTATCTAATATTACTTTGGACAAAGTTTTTGATCAATGCAGTCTACCCTATCTTTTGGTGTTGCGTTGAGTCTTTGAACAGAGATAGGTAGTTATGCAAAGCTGAAGCCATGATTTGATCAGGCCTGCATGCCACCTTATTTGTTTATATACTTATGCACCTGCTGCTACTCACTTGTAGTCAAGCTCTTCTCTGGATAATTATTTTAGGTGTCTCATTTTCAGAAATTGAAGTAAATTACTCTTAGTTGCAGGATATTTTCATCAGTAACTTCTCAAAGAGCCTGACATCTTTCTGAAAACATCTTCTCTTTCTTGTTGTGTTTTGTTTGAGTGGCTCCTGAAGGAATATACGTGGATCACGTGTTCATTAGATGTTCCAGTTGGCTGCCAGTCCTGTCAAAGCTTGATCTAATAAAGAAAAGTGTAAAATGAACAGAGCCTGAAATGATTAAAGAAAAACCAGTAGGGCCTCAAGGTGTGACTCAAAAGACAAGGAGCATACCTGTGTTTCTGTGGGGATAATTCAAACACAGTATTTGCCCTCTTGTACCATCTACTGATAACAAAACTCTCTTTCTCTGGGTATGTGACCAAAGAAAGAAATTACTCTGGGAATGTACATGAAAGTAACCACTGCGCAGCTATGTGGAGCACTTATGTAAATGTGTCAGCATCAGTGGAATGATCTGTATTTGGCAGGCTGATTAGGACTGCAACATGTTTATGATCCGGATGTGCTCTCTTTTCTTAGGTATGCAAAGAGCAGCATCGCTTTGAGAAACTGATGGAATATTTCCGTAATGAGGATAGCAATATTGACTTCATGGTAAGTAGTTTAAAAAAAATGCAAGAATGCATTTGCTTTGAAATTGTGTATGCCAGCAGCGCATTTAGCCCAATGCTGGGAGGAAACAAAGTGACACATTGGATGTATGTTATCTGTCTTGATGATCAATTGCACTCAACTTAGAACCATTCATTTAGCGACTGTTCAAAATTTTAATGCCCCTGCAAAAGTGACTTACAACTGGTCGTCTCACAATGTTGCAGTATTTCCACTCATATGATCATGATTCTGACAGCCATCATGCATTTATAATGGTTGCAATATCCTTCAGACACATGATCACCATGTGTGACCAAGCAAAGTCAATGGGGACGGTGGCAGGGAAACTTGCAAGTTGTGGTCACATGATGTCTCACTTATGACCACACACCTTAATGATAAATTTTCCAATCCCTACTGCAGTTGTAAATTGAGGACTAACTATTCCATGGATAATGTAGGATTTCTGCTGTCCCCAATTATGCTATCATGGATTCACCCATGCAAGAGACCATAAGTCAGTGATGGAGCATATGCTTGGATTCAGAAAGTCATCGATCATCTTAGGCAAGATTGGGAAAAGTTTCTATGTAAAATCCTAGACAGATAAATTTATCATTGAAAATGTAGGAGTAGGGAGTCTTTATCAACCCAAGGAAGAATTTACTCTAAGGCAGGGGTCCCCAACCTGTGGGCCAGGGCCATTACCATGGTGTATGGGCCACCAGGCCATGTGAGTAGTTGGCCCGTGCGCACCTGTGCATGCAGGCTCACTGCCTCATTTGCACGAGCATCTCCGCAAGCGTCGCGGGCATTCATGGCCTCACTCAAGCGAGCAACAGGTGTTCATGCACACACACACCTGTGCATGCGTTCACTCCCCCACAAAATCATCCCTTCTTTCCCCTCTCCCCCCACTCTGGGCCACCAACTCCAAAAAGTTGGGGAACTCTGCTCTAAGGAATCTCTAAAGAATATGGATTAGATGGTCTCAGTAAATGAAATCTGAAACTTCCTCTTCCCCCTTCTCCTTCTCCAGCAAAAGATTAATCCATGGTTCTCTGCATGGAGGAAGGGAATCTGTGCATGGAAGGATGGTGGGACTTGGCTATCTGGAAATTATATAGCATGTGTTGCATTTTAAAAAATCAGTTCTCTGTTTTTTTTTCTTTTCAAAAAAGAGGTCTAGAATCCAAGGGGGAGTAAATAACTGAATCTGTGCATCCCAATTCCAGCTGCCTGTTCTCTCTTTTATAGGTAGCCTGTATGCAATTCATCAACATTGTGGTCCATTCAGTAGAGGACATGAACTTCCGAGTGCACTTACAATATGAGTTCACCAAGCTGGGTTTGGAAGAGTTCTTACAGGTAACATTTTATCCCATCACAACATAAATCTCAAGTGGTATTAAAATTTGACAATGTTTAATCATCTTTCTCTAAGACTGATTTAAACTCCGAGTTGACCATGATGTCTAAGGACGGGGCTCTTTTTGACTGTGTTCTCGTGATTACTGGTGCCACTAGCTGTGGTGCTGGGAGTATAGCCTTAATTACTTCTGTCTTTACGCTGTTGTACTGTGGCAGTCTCAACAAGGTATCTGCCAAAAAATTCTTTCCTCCAGGCAAATAGCGGAGGGTAAAATTGAAGCGCTGGAAGTGTTGGGCCCACCGTACATGTTTAGGGGACCGCTTCCTCGGGGTCTTCAGCGCTTCTAGGTTTTTGTGGTCAGTTACTCCCTTCTAAAAAATGCCTCCATGTGAGGAGAGCACATCTTACAGCATAATCCTCCTTCTCCCATACTGCCCAGTGTTGTTTTGTCTCAGTTAATTTTTTAGAGGTATAAGCACAGGGCTGTAGCTACCCCTTTTCTTTCTCTTGGAGCAGTACTGCACCCATGGCCACATCGCTAGCATTGTCCTGGATGTCAAATGATCTCCCTGGGTCTAGGTGTCTCAGTACCAGCTCAATGGAAAAAAGTCTTTTTAACTTTTCAAATGCAGCTGGCTGGGTTTCGCCCCTTTGGTTTTCAGCAAATTGTGATGGGCAGGGCAATTTGTGCGAACGAGGGGATGAACTATCTATAGAAGTTGGCGAAACCCAGGAAGCTGTGCAGCTGCTCCCTTGTGCGTTGTGTGTCCCATTTTAAAATGGCACTCATCTTTTCGGTATCCATTTCTACCCCTTTGTGTAAGAGCCGGTAGCCTAAATAGTCATTTTTTTCTTTGTGAAATTCGCACTTTGAGAGCTTAGCATACAGCTTAGCCGTGCAGAGTTTCTTTAAGACTGCCTTGACCAATTTCACATGCTCAGCTTTCATTTCAAATGTAGATTAAGATATCGTCCAGTTACACCAAATTCCTTTGTATATGTAGCACCTCATTTATCAGTTGCATAAACACTGCAGGGGCTCCCTATAACCCAAAGGAGCACTTTAAATTGAAAATAACATAGGGGGCAGTTAAAAGTCATCTTCCACTCATCTCCCTCCTTGATCCTGACTCGGTAATATGCCTCCCGTAAGTCCAGTTTAAAAACATTTTCCCTCTGTAAAGGTGAGCCAGCATGTCCTTCATGAGGGGCAAGGGGTACAGATTTTCCATACACACAGCATTAAGACCTCTATAGTCCACACAGAGACGAAGAGACCCACCTTTCTTTTCCTGGAACAGCATCAGGGCTGCCACCGGGACCCTTGCTGGCTGTACGAAGCCCCAGGCTAGGTTTTTATGTACAAACTGCCGCAGTTTGTCTAGCTCCCTAGGAGTCATAGAGTATATCTTGGGCTTAGGGAGCTTGGCTCCAGGGACAATCTTAGTAGCACAGTCTGTGGGCCGGTGTGGGGGAAGTTCATCTGAGCCCCTCTCACTGAACTGTGGTAGTCTCTGGGTATGTCTTTCAGTCCCTTGCTTTTTGCGCCTGCCGCCAGTTCTCGGTAAGTTTTCCCCTTTTTGCTCTTGTGGCTTTTAGGCTTTTCTGTTCCTTTGGGAATTTCAAGCTCCGTTCTCGCCAGTCTACCCGTGGGTTTCATCTTTTCAGCCACGTCAGTCCTAGGACAAGGGGCCATTCCATACCAGGTGTCACTATGAAAGTTAAAGTCTAGACCCAAGGATGCGTCTGCCAATTTCAAATAAGTTATGTTCTCCATAATTCTAATTCTCCCTAATTCTCCATAATTCAAAAGCATGTCTATATCATAGAAATAAAGCTGATTAATAATTAAACCTTCTTTCCAGAAATCCCTGCAAATTATAGTTCTCTGATGGGGTTTAAAGACTACTAACAAAACACCCATCATCTCACCAAATAATCAGATTCAGAATTCTGTAGGCATGAAGATGGGAGTGAGAGGAAATCATGATAAAGTAACATACATTTTTCTATTTTTTTCCACAGATATTTATCATGGAATACTTTAGTGGTTTATTTTTGTACAGTAATTTCATTACCTGTAGTTTGGGCCTCTTGGACTGATGAGATAGAACATGTCTATGGGATAAATCTTTGAGGAAGTCATGAGTAGCTCAGAGGGGCTCTATTTTGGCCTTGCTGGGGACCTGGTGGTATCCAGGAGAACACTAGGAGCCTCTGGCCTTTAAGACCGTTTCATTCTCTCCAACAGAAGTCAAGACACACAGAAAGTGAAAAGCTGCTAGTACAAATTCAGGCCTACCTGGACAATGTGTTTGATGTAGGTGGATTGCTAGAAGATGCTGAGACCAAGAATGTGGCTTTGGAGAAAGTAGAAGAATTGGAAGAGCACTTATCGCATGTAAGTGCACAGCCTTTTCTTTAGCATGGAAAAGCCTTATTGGTTGGGCAGCTAATCCTGTAATCCATTTTGCCTACGGGAACTACACAGACTATTTTTTTAAAAAAATGCCCTTCCCCTTTCTTACTATTTACTCTTAATGTAAAGGAGAATAAGTCATCGAATAAGGAAGCTCCATTCAGTTGCAAAAACATTTATCTGTCCTCTTTTAAGTTAGTAACAAAGTCACCCAGTTTTTAGAATATAGAGATTTTCATTGTAAAGTGTTCAATAGCTGATCCACCTATTGTGTACCTTAACTCAAGTACATGTAGTCCTCGACTTATTATTATTTAGTGACTGTTCGAAGTTGCATCACTGAAAAAAGTGACTTATGACCGTTTTTCATACTTACGAGCATTGCAACATCCCCATGGTCACATGATCAAAATTCAGATGCTTGACAACTGACTCATATTTATGACGGTTGCAGTGTCTTGGGAGTAATGTCCACACCTTTTGCAAACTTCTGACAAGCAAAGTCAACAGGGAAGCCAGATTCACTTAACAGCTGTGTTACTAACGTAACAACTGCAGTGATTCACTTAACAACTGTGGCAAGAAAGGTCGTAAAATGGGGCAAAATTCACTTAACAAATGTCTGTCCGAGCAACAGAAATTTTGGGCTCAATTGTGGTCCTAAGCCGAGACTACCTGTAGGTGAGACAGAGATTTTTCTAGCCCTGCCTGGAGATGCCAGGAATTATATTAGGAAGTTTGTGCATTCAATATAGAAGGTCCCATAAAATTGTCTGAGGTCTAAAATCTCCTGACTGGCCATGCAAAAGGAAGATACAGGTAAGCTAAAACTTGTTTTTAACTATTTTAAAAATACCAATTGCTTGCTTTTTGCGAAAGAAAATCCCTTTTGACAGTTTCACTACCTCATTTATGAGAGTTGGCCTCACAAATTGTGTTATTGAATGTATAGTTATCAAATAATAAAAGCAGAGGTGTCATGACTCAAAGGAAAGACCAATTGGTGATTCCTGTTCTGTGTTACTCAGTTGACAGAAAAGCTGCTGGATCTGGAGAATGAGAACATCATGCGGGTGGCTGAGTTGGAGAAACAACTATTACAGCGGGAAAAGGAATTGGAGATTGTCAAGGTACGTGGATCAAAGAAAGGGAATTGAAGATGCTTCCCAGAGCATGGAGGTGTGACTTTGATTTAAAGTGATGGTTTCATTTAGACTTTCCTGGAAGCTGGTCACTGATAAGATACTGTGGGCAAAGATAACTTGCTTATTGCCGTGGATCTTTCTGGCTAAAAAGGAGAACAACATGCATCAATGGAAGCATCAGTTTTCATGGGTGTTCTCATGGGGTGACAATTTCATCCAACAGGTCAAATATCTATGGAGATTCTCAAGGTCATGGTTGTTCCAAAGGTATTTTTTTCAAAAGGCAACTGCCCTTTTGTTGGTTTTTTCCTTTGGAAACATTTAACTTCTCATCCAATAAGCTTCTTCAGTTCTGGACCAACAAAAGTCTTTTCGAAAAAGCACCTTTGGGACATCTGACAGGTTCAAGGCATGCAGAACTTCTGAACCATATTTGAAAATCTGAAATCCGCAGAATTCCTTGCCTGGCAATCAACATGGAAAGGTTTCCTGCGAGTAAGAACTCTTCTGGTTTAAAAGAATTTGTTTCTTCAAGGCTATTCTGTGTCACAGAGATGAAGCACAATTCCTATCTTTGTGAGCTATTTTTCCCCCTAAAATATACCATGATAAAATGCATCCTCTAGCATCCTAACTTGATTTGCCCAATACAGGCAATGAGCAGAACCAAATGGCAATGTTTTCCTGGACCACACTATTTCAAACTGCAGTAGGGCAAGAGTTAACGTATTTCCATTCTTCTCTTGAGCTGGATAGGCATCCCACATCTGCTAAACTAATGTGTGGTTTGTATTGACAATTTATTTCCCCACCCATTGTTTTCCACGTAGACAGATATTTTCTTCCTATGAAAGAAATTAAATTATGTAACTCATTCTTTATTCTCAGAAGTGTATGGTTGGAAATATTTGTGATTCCACAGTTCAGCATATAATGACCCTTGTGACCTTTCCCAGTCTGTATCTGCCAGCTGGGTTGGATTGCAACACTGAAACCTCCAATTCACCTGGAGGTCCCTGAATTGGGGAAGATCTGATGTGATTGGTCCTTTGGGATTAGGATTCCCTGAAATGATAAACCAAACCCTAATCTTAACCATAAATTTGGGTTTTGGTTATAAAATGAAGGGTTTTCTCTCTTCTCCTTTATATATAATACCTGAGTACTTCCAAAAATTAGTAAATTACTAAAACTAAAAAAAAAGGTATCTTTTTCCTTTACAGTTAAAAGAAAAAAAGATATTCCCCATAGCAAAGAGAAGCAGAGATGGTTAAATTGATTCCTTTACCCAAAGAAAAAAATATACTTAATCTTATCTCTGTTTTGAAATTGCTTCCGGATTTTGTGCTTGCAATGAGGGAAAAAAAAAGAAACTTTGATTCTGTTTTTGTGAACTAGATAGGCTTATTGTTATAGAAATGGCTTTGTATACCTATTGTGTAAAAGCAGAAAAGTTGTGGTTGTAATGTTGTTACCTTTTATTGTGCTAAAGAAAGTCGGTAGTCAGTGCCTTTTTCTTTTTTCTTTTAATAATAATAATAAAGTTGGAAGGGACCTTGGACGTCATCTAGTCCAACCCCCTGCTCAGGCAGGAAACCCTACACCATTTCAGACAAATGGCCATCCAGTCTCTTCTTAAAAACTTCCAGTGTTGGAACATTCGCCGCTTCTGGAGGCAGGTTGTTCTACTGGTTGATTGTTCTAATTGTCAGGAAGTTTCTCCTTAGTTCTAAGTTGTTTCTCTCCTTGATTAGTTTCCATCCATTGCTTCTTGTCTTGCCTTCAGGCGCTTTGGAGAATAGTTTGACTCCCTCTTCTTTGTGGCAACCCCTGAGATATTGGAACAGTGTTATCATGTCCCCCCTTGTCCCCCTTTTTCCCCTCTCCCTCTTCTTTTAGTTTTCTACACTTTTTTCCCTTGTATTTTATATTTTGATAAAATTAATAAAATAAAATTGTGGGTTTTTTTTTTAAAAAAGGATTCCCTGAGATGATAAACGGGAAATGGTTTTTAGACATAAGAAAGCCTCTACTGTATCTCTCTGTCTGGAACAGGAGACCTACGAGAGTGCCAGCCACCAAGTTCATACATTGCGCAGAATTATCAAGGAAAAGGAAGAAGCCTTCCGACATCACTATACCTCACATCCAATGGGGAGTGACCACTTGCCGCTGCCACCACCTCCAGAGGCAGAGATCAATTTCAACGACATCTCTGAGGATGAATTCTGCCTGCCTGTCCTGCCTCCTGTGGAGGCTGCCCCTCCTCCGCCACCTCCTCCGCCACCTCTTCCCCCACCCCCTCCACCACTACCAGGTAGGCTTTGTTCTGGAGCTAACAAGCCAACATCTTGCCATGAGGAGGGTGCCTTGTTTTATTTATTTATCTATTGTTTCTTCTCTCGTAGATAAGTGTCCACCAGCTCCACCGCTTCCTGGCATGTCTCCTTCGATGATCCTCACAATGGGCTTATCAGGTAGATAGCGAAGCACTTAGATTTATATACTACTTTATAGTGCTTTATAGCCCTAAAGGGGGGGAGGCTAAGGGGTTTACAGCGTGCCCTCCAAGAAACTGGGTCCTCATTTTACCCATCTCGGAAGGGTGGAAGGCTCAGTCAACCTGGCAGTCGGCAGAGTTTACCTGCAATACTGCATTCTAACTACTGCGCCATCACTGGCTCAACCCCTATTCCCCCAAATAGACCAGAACAGTAAGACAGCATGGGGGTTGCTGTATACTTGATGCTAGTTGACTGGGGCAGGGTTTGAAGATAAATAATGTAAGTAATAATGTAGTTTCCACTTAAAAACACATGTTTCTAGCTCTTATGGGTATAAATTTAGACTGGAAAGTCTGAGAAAAATGTCAGAAAGCAAAAAAAAAAAAAACCAATTGATAAAATTGAATCAAGCAACTAGAAACTTTTGCAGAGTAAATTATGCAATATAACTGAGAAAAATGTATGCTTCCCCCAAAATGCAATTGATGTCATTTGTATGGATGATTTTTCTTGGCATCCCATTTCATTGTTGTAACCTTGAATTTTTAATAGTTTGAATGTCCTTGGGAAAGTGACATATTTTATTGGGCAAGAACGGCAGAAACTAAAATAATTTGTTCCCATTAAAAATAGATAGTTTAATTTTGGTTCTGGCTTCAGATATACAGCCTTAAACCTGTTTCTTTGGAAATAAGCCAAAGGAAAATTCATCTGTTTCTTTTGAAATACAAATCAGGCATATCATGTCTGGGCTGTAAAAATAAATGACAGTGGTACACTGTAATTCTCCGCTGCCTATTGGAGTTGTCTCGAGTGTTGTGTTGCACATATGGAATGCCTATTACAGATCAATGAATGAATTCCCTCAGTGCTTGCATACAGTTCAGGGCAAAGATTTGGTGACATGTCCAAATCCCATAGATACCATTCTTCAGAAACTATGGTATAAGGCAGGGGTAGGCAATCTTGCCTCTTTGTGACTCGTGGACTTCAACTCCCAGAATTCCTCACCCGGCATGGCTCATCTTGGAAACCTCTCCCTTTCCCCTCAGCATGGCTGGCTCAGGAATTCTGGGAGTTGAAGTCCACGAGTCATAAAAGAGCCGAGGTTGCCTACCTCTGATATAAGGGAAACTAAAAAATGAACCAAAACTCAACAGAAAATTGCCAAAATTAAAACTTCTTTCTCCAACTGACTTATTGGGAATAGGTTGAGGAGTACTTTCTATTTTCTACATGATCTATAATGCCTTGCTCTCTCTGTTCTGCACCAAGCAATCCGGATCAAAAAGCCCATCAAGACCAAGTTCCGCTTGCCAGTTTTTAACTGGACAGCATTGAAGCCCAACCAGATCAGTGGGACGGTCTTCAGTGAACTGGATGATGAAAAGATCTTGGAGGTGAGGGAAACAGAGAAGTGAATGCTGGCATGAGTTGAGATTTTAAGTACATAGATTTGAAAATTGATTTTCTTTCTTAGCTCACATCCTGTTGTTTTTGTTGTCTGTTAATGGTGTCATGGAACTGAAGCTCTGATTTAAAAAAAAATAGTCTGCTCTTCAGTTTGAGTGAGAGAAGGAAAAGTCAGTTTGACTGGTAGTAGAATTAGAAGTAGAATTGGGAAGATAACGCATATGAAGTATAGAACAAGAATAAGAACATGGAAAGACAGAAAATAATTACTTTTATTGCTGTAAGTTGCCTAGAGTCTCTTTTGTGATATGAGGGAGGGAGGGAGGGAGGGAGGAAAATTGAAAATAGCCAAAAAGTATTTGTTGAGCCTGAATCTGGCTTCCCCATTGACTCTGCTTGTCAAAATGTTGCAAAAGGTGATCACATGACCCTGGCACACTGCAATTGTCATAAATGTGAGTCAGCTGTCAAGCGTCCACATGTAAATCACGTGACCATGGGGGATGCTGCAATGGTCATAAGTGCAAAAAATGGTCATAAGTCACTTTTTTCAGCGCCATTGTAACTTTGAATGGTCACTAAGCGAACTGTTTTAAGTTGAGGACTACCTGTACTGTATGGTTTTAATACGCAGCATGCGCCCAGAATAGCAAAACACCAAGAAGTAAAAACCAAGCTGTTAGCAGTTTTAATTACTACCCCCAAGTGGACAAGATAATTTACTCTTTCCTTTTTTCCCCAAGGATCTTGATCTGGACAAGTTTGAGGAGCTCTTTAAGACCAAGGCTCAGGGCCCTGCCATCGATCTCCTTTGCTCTAAAAACAAGGCTTCACACAAAGCAGTCAACAAAGTGACTCTGCTGGAAGCCAACCGGGCGAAGAACCTGGCCATCACGTTGCGTAAGGCAGGCAGGACCACAGAGGAGATCTGCAAAGCCATCTACACGTGAGTCCCCCTCTGTATGCCTTTCCCCATCCTGTGATTTTCCTTCTTGTGCAGGCAGCCTTTTTCTCTGCCTGGGATTGTATTTCTGCAGGCATAATCAGGAGGGGGGCATGAGATATGCAAATAATAGGTCAAGCAGGAGATAGAGCAGGTGATCCCAAAGCAAATTGCAGGTGGGGTGCTTTTCTCTTTCTGAAACACTCTTTTTTACTTATCAACTACTTTCCTCTCTTCTTCCTCACACAGCTGGCTGTCAAGGTAAAGGCAGATCACTCTTTCCTAACTCGGGCTTAAGTTTCTGGTCACATGGAGTTAGGCTACAAGCCCTGTGTGGGTCAAAGTTGCTCATTCCTAGGTGAGAGGATCACTGAATGAAAAGAGAGTATCTCCCCTTGCATCCTTTGCCCATCAGTAGCCAGATGTTCCATCTCTGATAGAGGATCTTTCTTCACTGGGGCCTCTTTTAGGTTTGACCTGAAGACCTTACCAGTGGACTTTGTGGAGTGCCTCATGCGCTTTCTGCCAACCGAGACTGAGGTCAAGCTACTGCGCCAGTATGAGAAGGAGAGGAAGCCAGTGGAGGAATTGTCAGATGAGGACCGCTTCATGCTGCATTTCAGCAAAGTGGAGCGTTTGACCCAGCGCATGGCTATTATGGCTTTCCTGGGCAACTTCAGCGAAAACATCCAGATGCTCATGCCGGTAACACAAGTTATTTTTGGAGTTGGTGCAATTGCAGCGATATGGCCTTAAGTGGTACTACGTTTGAGGGGGACTCTTTTATAAGTCATTGTGCGTATGGGATGGGAAAGGATGTGCTCGATGTTGATCTTTCTATTTCTTCTGCTCCAAGAAGCCAGTTGTGTGTCTATAATGACATCATGACATACTTATAATGTAGAATTTCATAGAATAACAATTATACTGTCCTTTTGAAAAATCTGTACTTTACTAGCTGGGCTGCCTGGCAAAATGGGGGGATGCAAACAAGCAGATATAGCCCTAGAGTAGATTACATTTTTTTTATTGCCTCAGGTGCAACTTCAGATTTAGGAAAGGCTGAGAAAAATCGTTATCCTTGAGCTCAAACAGAATAGTTGTTAGGGATGAAGAAAGCATCTGCACCGGGTAGGTGTTCCACTGATACTACTCACTCAGTCTTTATGTTTTCTTGATGCACTCAGAGATCTTGTTCCACTCTGGTATGGATTCTGTGTTCCCAAATGATCAACTTTTCTCCTCTATGCTAATAATGCTTACAGGGTTCATTATTCTTCCTTCTTAATAGTTGTATTGACCTTTCCTAAGGGAAGCATTCAAAATAATTAAAACCAGATGGTTAAATCATGCTCAAAGCGCTGTCTCTTCCTAAGGACTTTGCTCCTCTGCAGAATACAAGAAGTATTCAGGTGCTAAATAAAGAATAATACTTTTGTGCTCTTTTGGCTTTTCCCTCTTATAGCAACTCAGTGCCATTATCGCTGCCTCAGCATCTGTCAAATCGTCACAGAAGCTCAAGCGAATGCTCGAGGTAGGTCAGTCAGCTGGCATTAGTGTAAGTTAAGAACGGAGAGTTGTAGCACCATCACCACTATTTACTTCTCATATATATTTCTGAATGCCGATGTCAACGCTGCAAATACTGTATATTCTTGCTGTGACAATATGACCATAACAGCCAAAGTTCAACCCGGATGAAGCAAATGAAGAGAGCCTCTGAGCCTGTGAAAGGCTTACTTTCCTTTTTTAAGATTGCAATTTCATCAAACGTATCAAAGTATAAAATACAAATGAAAATAGTGGGAAGTGGGGGGAGGGGAAGGGGTCAAGCAAAAAGTGTAGGGGAAAGGGGAAAATAAAAAAAGAAAAGCATGGACTTCTGACTCTTTTTAGCACATTGGAATATCATAATAAAATTACAGCCTCTTTATTTTTACATACTTAACATGTACTAGCCATTTCTATAGCAACAAAGAAAGGTTTGCTTTCAGCTAGTTCAGGAGCTGTAGGCTCTTAAGTTGGAATGTGGTTTCTGCAGAGGCAGAGAAGATTCACCCTGTGCCCTGGGCTTCATTGGCTAGAATTTTGTCTTGTACCTTGGGTCAACTGCTCTTCTTCTCTCCCCACAGATCATTTTGGCCCTTGGCAACTACATGAACAGCAGCAAGCGTGGCTCAGTTTACGGGTTCAAGCTGCAGAGTCTGGACTTGGTAAGGGAAGAAGCATGGAAAAGGGTCATACAGTATGATCCATGTGTCTGTAAAAAAAAGTAGCCAGCTGGATTTGTTAGAGATACCCTAAGAAGAAGGAAATTAGTAATTAATGTGCTGTCACAATGTACAGCACTGGGCACCTTTTCACACTACCCATGCCTGTGACTTCTAATGAGTGAATGCAGTTCCCCCAGGGCATTCCATGTCAATGTCCATACGTGTAACTGAACAGATGGGATTGTCTGTATTCACATGCATGTAGACTCCCTGCCAGTCTAATGTTTGCACACACTGATGCTGATGTCTTGATCTTCTGTTCTTCCTTGTTTCTGTCCTGAAAGCTGTTGGACACTAAGTCAACTGACCGGAAGCTGACTCTTCTACATTTCATTGCCATGATGGTGAAGGAGAAATATCCTGAGTTGAGCACCTTCTGGCAGGAACTGCACTTTGTGGAAAAAGCAGCTGCAGGTAGATGGTCCCTTCAACCACCACAACCGTAAATGCATCTTTGTTTCATCCTGGTCTTAGTAAGGACCCCATTAGTTGCTTTATCTCCAGCCTCTCCTTCATATACAAGGCCAGCAGCATTTCTATCTGGAGATTGTATGGAATTCAGAGAGACAACATTTTCTGCATAGGTACAAGCATCTGGCTTTGACTTAGAGTACTAGAAGGATCATGAACTGACTTGTAGAGGGAAACTATCTCCAATCTGATATAATATACCGCATAATGTATGAGCAAATATTGCTTCATTTCAGTTAGTATGCAAATTGTTTCCAGAAAGGGTAATGGTAAAGCAGGCACTAAGCAGACTAATAGGCGTGCTGGTATATAAATACCTGGAATATAATTGGAAACTGAATTTCCTGTTGCTAAGTTGCTCAGACTAAAAAGTGGACTTGAGACTCAAACAGCTTAGAGAAACCCACCCACCCCACCCCCCAGCCATGTTGAGCAACAATATTTTCTTGCAGTGTTCCTGGAGCTGATGGGAATTGGTATCAAACACTCAAAACTGGAGGGTTAAGGAGCTCTCTGCGACTGCTGAATAGGGACAGATCAATCCTGTCAGGGGTCTCCTGACAGCTGCTGCTCTCTCAGCTTGAGAATGGCTGCAATAAATCACAGCTTTTGTGTCCTGGAGATCAGCTGTGCTCTTTTGGGTTTCTTTGGATTCAGCAGTCTTCCACTGATTTGCTGGATTCAGATGACGCAACTGACACAGCCTGCCCCTCCTCCTGTATAAATGACTTATCGACTGATGCAGCAGCATTCAAAGTAATCTGAAGCTGCCACAGTGATGAAGGCTCCTGCCTTCTTGGCTACTGGCCCAGACTTTGTTGTGCAGTATGCTAGCTGTTGTCATTTTTTTTTTTTTTGCAGCACTAGGAGAATGATAATATAAATGACTTTGATGGGGTTGGAGCAGTGTTGGGATTCAGCCGGTTCGCACCACTTTGGCAGAACCGGTAGCTAATTTTTTGTTGCCCAAGCCCAAAATGGACTTCCAGAAGCGGCATCCACACAGAGAACCGATTGTTCACATATTTGAATCCCACCACTGGGTTGGAGATGCCTTTTTACAGCTGGTACTTGGAACAGAAGGGATGCATTTCGAAGGATAGAGTAACAGAGTGACAAGAGAATGACCGCCTCTTGTGCAGGGCTGCTGTGCAAGGGACTGAAGGAAAGTGTTTAGGCCTTCTCTTCTGAGTTTGCCTTACATAAATTATCTCGGATAAGTGACTCAAAACTAACCAGGTTCTTGACTCTGCTGTGAAAATTAGGGTTCTGATTCACACATTGTGCTTGGCCTTTCAATATCCAGGTCAATCAGGTTTTGTGAACCCAGCTCATTTCAGGAGACACTAAGATCCAAAGTTTTACTTCTCTGTCTTTTTCCTTGATGTCTCTGAATGGTTTACAACCAGTGGCATGTTGATAAATGAATAGCAACCAACTCAGCTCCATGGCCACAGCTCACTGCTAGCCACCAAATAGCTGATTGACTTGTTAGGCATTGCAGCTCAGCTCTGTTCTAAACTGATTTGCAAAATTCCAGAAAAGTTAACAATTGGCTCTTCTGAGCTGATATAAGCTGGCTCCAGCACATCAAGGTTTATAACAAAAATTTGTGTGGGATTCACAGTTGCCTCCCCGTTCTTCTGACAAACTTCCTGTGCAATTTTGCAAGTGGTTGGAGCCAGTCCATGGCATCCTGTGAAAGCCTCAGTGCCCCAACTGGGGGTTCTGGGAAATGTACATTTGAAGGCATCAGGGTGAGAAAGGCCATATTTATATAAGCTGAAATGAGAGATGGTTGGGGAACAGACTGTATACAGAATCCACGCTTGTTTTTAATTAGTTTGTGTCCATTTGTTTGATGGACAAGATTCTTTTCTGAGTAACCTAAGAGAAGATCACTGATCTTGAGAAGGTTGAATGTTGAGTGTGGGAGAGGAAGATGGGAAGAGATGAAGACAAAAGAAATGATATTATCAAGGAGAAATGTAGAAGAATTAAAGGATTAAGCCAAATACTTAAAAGATAATTTTCTCAAATTATGTTGATTTGTGGCTTTGCAAAAGCTAGTACAATGGAATCCAGTTCTTTGAGCAGCAGGATATGTCCCTTCCAATTATTATTATTATTATTGATCATCGCACAGTCAGCCAGATGTTCAGACTGGATTTGGCATTTTGTCTACCTATCGAGTCCTTACCCAGGACTTGGGATAGGCAGATGTGGATGTTTGGTGGTATTACAGATATCGTCGCAGGATGGAAGCAGTTCCTAGTAAGGCCGCCTTTTGCAATTGACTAATAGCGAATTTGTCAATGCCAATGGTGTTCAAATGTTGCTCCAGTTGTTTTGGGATTGCATCCAAGGAGCCTATCACTATTGGTACTACCCTTGCTTGCTTTTGCCACAGTCTTTCTATTTCTATTTGTAGGTCTTTGTATTTTGTTATCTTCTCCAGTTCTTTCTCTTCTATTCTGCTGTCTCCAGGCACTGCCACGTCCCCTATCCAGACTTTTTTGTCTTTCTTATCGACAATTGTTAAGTCTGGGGTGTTATGTTGCAGGTGCTTGTCTGTTTGAATTCTGAAGTCCCAGAGCAGTTTAATTTTATCATTTTCTATGACTTTCTCTATTTTATGATCCCACCAGTTTTTGCTTACAGGCAAATGATATTTTTTGCAGATCTTCCAATGCACCATTGTTGCTACTTTGTCATGCCGCTGCTTGTAGTCATTCTGTGCAATCTTCTTGCAACAGCTTACCAGGTGGTCCACTGTTTCTTCAGCTTCTTTGCATAGGCGGCACTTACTGTCTGTTGCTGTCTTCTCAATTTTGATTTTATATGCATTTGTCCTTAAGGCTTGGTCTTGTGCAGCCAGAATTAGTCCCTCGGTCTCTTTCTTCAATTTTCCTGCTCTTAGCATTGCCAGGTCTTGTTAATATCTGCTTTCCCAGCTATTTTTTTAATGTATTGGCCATGTAGTGCTTTGTCTTCCCATGCCTCTATTCTGTTCTTCATTTGGTCTTTCTTGTAGGCCAGTTTGGTCTCTCCAGTAGTCAGTAAGCCTTCCTGATATACTAATTTCAGTGCATCTTCATCATTGTTCTTCAGATATTCTTCCAAAGCCCTTTTTTCTTCTTCAACCATCTGATGTACTTGTAGCATTCCACGCCCACCTATTTGCCTTGGTAGATAAAGTCTATCAATGTCACTGCGTGGATGAAGGGCATGATTCATTGTCATTATTTTTCTGGTCTGCCTATCCATTGCTTTTAGTTCTGCTTGAGTCCAGTCCACTATTCCAGCTGTGTACCTAATGACTGGGATTGCCCAGGTGTTGATTGCCTTTATGTTATTTCCTCCATTGAGTTTTGATTTTAAGATCTTCTTCACTCTCTTGATGTATTCACCTCTAATCTTTTTCTTGACTTCAGTGTGCTTGATGTTGTCAGCTTGAAGGATACCCAAGTATTTGTAGTACTCTTCCTCATCCATACTCTTAATGTTATTTTCGTGGGGCATCTTGATTCCTTCAGTTTTCATTATTTTTCCTTGTTTGATAATAAGTGTGGCACATTTGTCCAAGCCAAACTCCATTACAATATCTTGGCTATATATACGGACAGTGTTGAGCAGCGATTCTATTTCAGATGATGTTTTTCCATACAGCTTCAGATCATCCATGTAAAGGATGTGGGATAGTCTAGCAGATGTTTTTGATGTTTGATAGCCATGTCCTGAGTTATTCAGTATTGTTGACAGAGGAAACAGTGCAATAACAAATAGTAATGGTGACAATGAATCTCCTTGAAATATTCCTCTCTTGATATTAACCTCTCCCAGTCTCTCACCATTGATCTGCAACTGTCTTCCATTGTGCCATCGATCTTTGCACAAATTTTCTGATGTTTCTACTTACTCCTGTTATTTCTAGGCACTTGATTATCCAGTCATGTGGCAGAGAGTCAAATGCCTTTTTGTAGTCACTCCATGCCACATTCAGGTTGGTCTTCCTTCTCTTGCAGTTTTCCAAGATCATTTTGTCTATTAGGAGTTGATCTTTTGTTCCTCTGCTATTGGGCGGTTTCCTTTCTGCTCAGGTGGAAAGAGATTGTTTTCAACTAGATGCTGTTGAACTGCTCAGCTACCAACCAGTTAGTAATTTGAAAGTTGTTGGTAAGCAGGTATTGGCCGTACTTACCTGGTGGTGCCCCTTTTGCTGGATTTTTCATTATTAGGTAGGTTTTCCCATTTGTTAGCCACTTTTCAATTTCTCCTCCTTGTAGTATATTGTTGAACTGTTTGGCAATGAGTGGGTGTATAACAGTTAGATGTTTCAACCAAAACCCATGCAGTTCATCTTCACCTGGTGCTGACCACTTTTTGATTTTCTTTGCTCTTTTTTTCTACCATTTTTGTTGTTATTACTAGTTCTTTCATTTCAACTTCTGTTTTATTTGCATCCACCTCTTTAACCAAGCCGCATCCTTGTTGTATTTCTTTGGGTTATCCCATATCTGCTTCCAGAACTGCACTGTTTCTTCCTTGTCAGGTACTGACTAATTCCTTGCAGTTTCTCCCTTGATGGATTGGTAGAAACATTCGATTTGGAATTGCAATTGGAGGTTCATCTATAAGTTTGCAATTCAGCTTCATATCTACTGATTTTTCCTGGCTTAGCTGTTATTGTTGCTTTATTATTTTCAGTGCTTCCTTGATCTTCCTTGTTTCTAAGTGGTATTTCTTGATTAGGTATTCTTTGGTCTTCTTGTTCTTCAGCTTCTTTTCTTTCATCTGTTCTAGCTTGTTTGCATGTGATCTTAACTTGCTGATCTTATTTTCTAGTCTAACCTTCCATTTTTGTGGTGCACTGTTTGTTTGTTTTTCTTTTTTGTTGATTTTGCATCCCAGGTATTCTGTTATAACTGCAGCTGTGCTGTACATTAGTTGGTTTGTTTCTTGCAGTGATTGGTGCTTATACTTGCTATTGCAGTATTTGCATCTTTTAATGCTTGTGCTAGCTGTTTCTTTGGAACAAGCTTCAATGCAGGCAGCCTTATTCTGTTGTTTTTGTGCTGTTCTAGATGCTCAATTATTCTTTGTTTCAATTCTTTTATTTCTTTAGTTAGAGGGTTTTGTTCTTCCTGATGAAGAGGTGCCTGGTTTCCAAATGAGAACAGTTGTATATCTCTACTGGATTCGTTCACTGCCAACTCCCCCTGGTTTGCCTCTACATTCTGAATTACTTCTTTTAAGGCTTTGATTTCTTTGCCCTGGGTAAACCTTTGCAGTTCGTCGAATTCTGTTTCTTCTGTAAATACTTTATTTCCGTAGTTTAATCAGCGTTGATCTGCTAGTCTCTGTCTGTATTTCTGATTCTGGATGTTGTCTTTCGAGAATTGGGTGCTTCGTTTTGATATCTCTTCTTGTTGGACTTTGATCGTAGTAACAGATCATTATTTCTTTGTTTTCCATCACTGTGTATCTGCGATGGGTAGACACCTTTTCTTCCAGTAGTTCTGCAGCTGCTGGCCCTGGTTGCTCAGCCAACAGTCCTGAGTCCTGTAACCCATTTTTCACCAGATATCCAGGAACTCCAATATCTAGCGTGGACCTTGTTAACCCGGGCGACGTCCGAGCCGGTATAGCATTCTGAAATTTACATCTCACCATATTTTTTATGGGAGAGACACTCTTTGTCTGACTCCTCTGATGAGACCTGTCCAGTATGGTTGAACCTCTGGCATAGTTCTCATCTTCCTCAGAGTACACAAGCCCCACAACCACATCAAGGTAGTGCCTCACTGGGGGTTATTATTATTATTATTACATTCTTCTGGATACCAAATCCCGGAGATAAACTGTATGGATGACCTTACATCACTTGCTTCCAGAGACATCTGCTTGGTTGCTATAGGAAGTAAAATAGGCTAAACAAAATTAATCTAAGAATCACTAAAAAAAAAACCCACTGTACAGTCTTTCAGAATGGAAATGGCTGGTGTCATTTTGCAGCCGCTTTCCTTTTAATAATTAATAAATGATACAACTGGGTCTAATTGTATCTTGGAACTTTCCTCTCTTTCTTGCTTTATGGCAGATGTTTGACCGTTAAATAGCTCGTTGATATTGAAAATGGATGAGTATATTGAATTCATCAGTTTTCAAGCTTCATAAATAGATATTTTTGCTGCATATTCCAGCCATTCTGGAGTCTGCCTCAATTTTGAATCTTCTTAGATTTAATGGAAGACTCTTAAACTCTATGAAAGGAGACACACCAAAGGAATCTGCACCTGATGTGGATTTTTCTGATAGTTTACCCATAGAGGGAAATGAAACAATCCACCCACAGTTGTCTGATGGAGTGGTCTTTTGAATTCTCTTTTGAATTTGTGCTCTCTTTACTTCTTTGAAAGCTTGTTCATATTGTTTTCTCCCACTTGCATAAGGAACTAGTACAATAGCTAAATCTGGTAGAAATCCATTATTAATTAACCCTAAAAAAAGGATCTTAGCCCTGACATGTTTGGTAGCCTTGAGGCATTCACAATTGTTTGAACATTCTCTCTCTGCTTCTGTAGGCCTTATATGTCCATACTGTCAAGGCAATATTAGGTCTAAAGAACTCACATTTGTTGTATTGTGCTCAAAGGTTATCTCTGACATGCTGCCTTGAGGTTATGCAGAGACGCATCATTGTTTTCTCTTGTGACATTTATTTATTCATCCATTTGTTTGTTAGATTTATTACCCACCACAATTCTAAGAATCAATATTTAGATTATGTCATCTGAATAACATTGAGTGCCTGAATAACCTTGGAGCATTTGATCTCTGGCTATCTGCCAAAATGTTCGCTCTGATGTTACTCCAAAATCAAGACTGTTATAATGACATAGCCCTTGGATGGATGGATGGATGGATGGATGGATGGATAGATGGATGGTGGAAACACTTTAGAATTATCCTTCATTTCCATCTATAAATAAGCTTCTAGTAGGTCTGTTTTAATTAAGTGCTGTCCTCCATCAAGGTTAGCAAAATGTCTTCAATTCTGGGCATGCAGTAATACTCAATCTGTAATAGTGGAGGATTAATGGTAACCTTGTAGCAGATGACTCTCAATCAATTTTTCTCCTTCATCTGATTCAATTTAGTTTCTACCTTTTTATTTCTGGCATCTGGAATTGTATGCTCCTTGGGAAACTTGGGGGTGGCGTTTTTCTACAACATTATTGTTGTACCTTTGATTGTGTTTGAATGTGGCAAGGCCACCAACAAAATCCACTACCTTTTCTGGCTTCCTCTTAGAAGTCAGGGGTATCAAACTGCCAGCCCATGGGCTGGATGCATCATCCGGAAGCCACGCCCACCCCATTGCTGGCAATGGCAAAACCGTCCCAATATGTTGTGCGGGGTCACGTGACGTCGTGAGTTTGACATGTCTGTCTTAGATGGTCCTATGACTGGAAGTGCAGCTGATGATGAAACACCATTATAAAAATGGTGACTCAAAAGAATATGAGGGGTCCTTGGTGCTCTCTGAGTTTGCTTGTTTTCTTGCAGACATTTCATTACCCTAATAGGTAACATCATTAGTGCTAGTAAGGAGTGCTGTTTACTGTCAGTTTGTATTCTGGTGACTTGCCTGTCTGTGTGGGCAGGGGAGGTCTTAGGGATTCTTTAGTTGTTTACTAATGGTTCTTTGGCAGTTTCTTGATTGGGATATTGCTTACTTGATTGTTGGTCTGAAGGTGACCTTGGAGTTCATCTATGCTGATCTGAATGCTGATTACTGATGGAGAGGTGCTGGAGTGTTTTTCTCTTTTGTATTGGTTGATTGTCTCTTTTGCATAATCTATAGATGTTGTTAATGTCTATGTGTCTGTTGATGGCAGTCAGACATGGCAGTCAGAGTGCTGTTTCTCCTGTTTTCACAAGATATATGTCCAGCTAATGTATTTTACAGTTACAACTATCACTCCAGTGATATATTCTCGTAAAAGGCTGTAATTGTATTTCTGATGGCTCTAGCATCTCTGAATGCTGCTCAAACTTGTACTGTAACTGATACAGAGGGACCAGTGTAACACTGATAGCATTTTCTCATTTGCTTCTGGTGTGAATTGTATTGTGCTCTCATTTCATCTTTTAAGATATAGATTGCCAAATTAGCTCTGTTTGCCTTCATGATTAAATTATTCATCTGTAGCATGTGCCACTGCATTCCTTTTAAAGAAGTGGTCTGGTTGTTTATCTTTAGCAAATATTTTACTTCTTCATAAATGACAGGATCTCCAAATACATCACACCTTGCTGAATTTTCTGCAGATTCCTTCTGTAAATCTGCGTGGAGATGGTGTATGTGAAGCTATGCCCCCACGACATCTGAGAGTAAGATGGGCAGTGTCTAAATTTGATAAATAAATAAAATAGCACAGTCTCTTTTGATCAATTACTTTCTGTCTGCTCCTGCAAGCTTATTTACATTTGTTGGTATACTCCTCACTGTATCTCTAGCAGCAATTTCCATGGAGATAGCAATCTCCAGCGTTCCCTTAAATGTTAAATCTGTTAAGAGGTTTTCAAAAAAAGATTTTCTTTCAGAATTCTACCCAGTCGCTGAACCCTCAAAGCACGATTTGGTGGTTCATCAAATTTGCAAAATTCAGACCTATTTTTATGTTCGGCTAGTTTCTCTTTTCTGTCTGAGATTATGAAATCTGAAATGCTTAGCAGTTCGTACATGTTTTGCTACCAAATGTCCCTGCATTAAATGTATTACTTCTGCAAAGCTGAATTGTGAGGGATTTTAGGGACATTTCTTAGTAAATTATACGTTTTGCCTCCCATAATACTCAAGAAAACAGGGATCTTTGTGCAACAACTACCTCACGGACCTCAAAAAAGTGTTCCGTATAAAGGTAGTCCTTGACTTACAATAGTTCATTTAGTGACCGTTCAAAGTTACAACAGCACTG